GTTATAGAGTTCGTATATATATATATATATATATATATGTGTGTGTGATCGCAAAATATATTCGTGAAAGAAAAACACGATCATTATTTAATCCCATTTGTTTTTCCTGCTCTTATCATGCGAGCCTGAATGTGTGCAGCTAGCTTTGTGACATGCAGTTTATACGAGAAAATAATTATGTACGGGTTATAAGTCTAGTTAATGTTTCAAACTAAAAATACATATATGTAATAGTCACTACATATTTGTTTATTACAGAAACCTTATTTTATAAAATGCGAACTTCGGTATTTTATTGTTCAGTTTAGTATACTTTTTATTATTGAAATATCTGCTTGATATGAGATTATAAGAATAAAAATTTCGAACTTCGGTTATATTCTGGGTTCGTAATTAGTCTAAGAATAAGAGAAGTGTGTGTGTTTTAATTATGTTCTTTTTTTTTCTCCGTCAGCGTTCGTAAAAAGCTTTAAGAAAGTGAAGCTTAGATAATTTTAATCTGGAATGTTTTGTGACTCGTGAGGATAGGGAAAGTAATGGTGATATTCTGAATGGATCTAAATTTTTCATATTCTGGACTTTGTGATTTTTACTTGTTTTTGGTGTTATTATGTTAAGAGTACACCAGTAAAACTTTTAGAGAAAAAAATAATAATTATGCTAATTCTCCCGTTACTTTGTTTAAAACGCAGTAGAAAATGTTTAGATGGTGATATATGTCTCATATTTAAACAAAACATTAGAATTAAAATGAAGAAAACAAACTAAAACGATCCAATCAAATATGTCAGGCCTCTTAATACATCACAAGTAAATGATCCAGTCATATGTGTCAGGCCTCTTAATACATCACACGAAAACTTCTATTGTTAAAGGTTGTTTTCCAAGTGTCGGACAGTTTTTCCATACTTTACACGACATAAAAGTTATTCAACTTGTCCTACAAGTGTTGAAGGAGGGAATTTGGAGGGCAATAGACTGAGAACATTGGGTAAAATATACCCCCCCCCAAACGAAGTTGTTTTAGCAGATCCAAACAAGAAATGTGTTCAAATAGCGTGTTACTTTATGTGTGTGTCTGCAGCAAACCACTGCTGACGGTATTTTTCTTTTTGCTTTGTGTGTGTGTGTGTGCAACAAACCACTGCCGACGGTATTTTTATTGCTTTGTGTGTGTGTCTGTCTGAAACAAACCACTGCTGACGATATTTTATTTTTGCTTTGTGTGTGTGTGTGTCTGTCTGTATGAAACAAACCACTGCTGACGATTATTTTTTTTGCTTTGTGTGTGTGCGTCTGTCTGTATGAAACATACCACTGCTGACGGTTATTTTTTTTGCTTTTTGTGTGTGTGTGTGTCTGCAACATACCACTGCTGACGGTATTTTTTTTTGCTTTTTGTGTGTGTGTGTGTGTGTGTGTGTCTGCAACATACCACTGCTGATGGTATTTTTTTTGCTTTTTGTGTATGTGTGTGTGTCTGCAGCAAACCACTGCTGATGGTATTTTTTATTAGGTTGCTGTGTTTCTAAGCGCTAATCTGTGTGTTTGAACACTATACCACGAGACTATATAACTCCTGCTATATGCTCGAGTTTTAACAGACATGTGATGTAAATATAGTTCGACTATTTAGCTATCCTAAGATTTGGTACACGATAGAATGTATGTGTTTAACTAAAGCTAGTTAGATATCTTAGGTGAATTTCATGGTAATTCATTAAATGTGTGTTAATAAAACTGCACGTCACAACAGACAGGAGAAAGAATATTGTATATTTATGAGTCTTGGTGAGACCGAGAGAAATATTTTGTACGTTTTATACATATCTATTACTGCAACTTTGCTATTCATGTTATGTACAAACAGGTTTATTCATTAAAGGTATTACAAGGAAAGCTTCATTGTCAAACATCCTTGTTTTTATTGGGGGATGGAGAATGTATTTTTTTGGTCAATTTTAAATACTTCTAATCAGTTACTCGTTGTAGAATATCGAGATATTTTGAGTTTAAAAGTTTATTTACGAATGTTACTTGAATGTTTTGTAAATAATTTTGGTTACAAAATTTCTAGTTATTTGCATTTTATTTTGTCCTCATGAAGTAATTCAAACTAAGATGTTACTCGCCAAAAAACAAAAGAAAATCTCATCGAAAAACGCAAGACTTTATTTAAGTATGAACATATTCAATTGCTATATAACTTCTTGAAAATATATTTTGTTTTGTTTTCGTGAAATCGAGCACTAAAGATTTAAAAAGTTTAGGGGAAAAATTAAACACCTCGAAAACAATTTAGTGATTCTCTTCAGATATTTACGTGTATAAGTGCAAATTTAGCAGTTAAAAACTTTTAACCCTGAAATGTTATCAGTTTCTCTAAGACTTGAGGAGTTTTGTTGTTTTACGTTTCTTGAACGAATATCTTGGTTGCTGCTTTAAACGTTTCAAACAATTTTGTAAAATAACTAAATGCACCAGCATGATGTTGATGCAGGACAAACTAACATTATGTTATGTTAAACTAGACTCTTAGTTAAGAGTTATTTCTTGGTTTTTGCCTTAGTATATTTAAGTACATATTTCATATAAGTTAGAATACTTATGTAGCTTGTTCACAAAATCAAAATCATAATCTTTTAGAAGTATTAAGTTGGTGGTTAGTTGTTTTAGTAAAACTACTCGAGGGCTAGATGTGCAAGACGTTTCTAAATTTAAACTGAGGTAAGGCAGTTAGTCAACAGTACCTGCCGCTAACTCACTGGATAGTCTAATTTAATATTAACATTGAACTACCACTCTTATAATGTACCCAAAGTACCGAGTACGATTTTGCGAGAGCGGGACACGAATCTTGGACCCTCGAATTCATAGTCCGCTATATCTGTGACAGTTTATCAAACAATACTTTTCTATAGTGATACACAATAGAAACAGACAGAGCTGTTTATAAGGGGTTGAAGTTTCAGCCTTTTGATTACATTCTGGTACAGAGTATTATAATAATTAATTAAAAACTAATCATCAGGCTGTTATTTATATATCACTCAACAAAGAGAGGTTAGCCACATACGTCAGTTTGATACCTTTAGAAACAGCGGGGTTACATGATTTGTTTTGTACAGAATTAGCTGCAACTATTTTTTTAACGTTATTATATTCTTTATTTACGGCTTTAGCCTGAAACTTCCTTTGAAAATTGAGTGCTGATGGTTTTTTTCTCGTTCTTATACTAGACACATTAGCCTTTATCAATGCGTCGTCTGTATTCAGACAACAGATAGTCACTGTTTGGTTGAGAGACGAATGACCTTGTTATGCACGTGTGACACTTATGCGTTTCCTTGAAGCACCGGAAGAGGGCTGCTGATTTGGTGAGTGGATTTATACGGTTTATTGGTCAAACAAGAATTAAATGGAATATACGAGTATGTGTTTACGGTTTATCAAAAGAATGTATTAAAAACCAACAACAATTAAACAGCCACATAGTCCTTGATATTATTCATCACTTGCCGTCCACCTATCGTCAAAACTATGAAACTATTTTGTTTAATGGCGTAAGTGCAAAGAATTGTGAGAAATAAGTGTTAGTAGTTGATTTTCAGCCAGTTAAAGCAAAGCTGAGTGCTTGGGTCACAAGCTTCTGCTTCAACTGGATATAAATAATACTTTGTCTAGATAGCCTGCCGATTAACTTCATTAGAGTTTATAAGTTAACTAAATTCTTCCAAATTTAGCCCTCACCTCCTACGTTTTGACGTCGATGAAAGTTGTCATATTTTGCATGTCTTCAAAAGCCATTGTTTTATTCTACTTCTCTTGTAACGAAAACATCAATATTTGGTATGCAATGTCCGAAATGCGCCTGTTTCTCTCGTCAGTCACTATCAAAGATCGCACTCGACTTGCAATCTGCGGGTTCGAATCCCCGTCACACCAAACATACTCGCCCTTTCAGCTGTGGGGCGTTATGATGTAACGGTCAATCCCACTATTCGTTGTTAAAAGAGTAACCCAAGAGTTGGCGGTGGATGATGATGGCTAGCTGCCTTTCCTCTTCTCTTTCACTGCTAAATTAGGGACGGCTAGCGCAGATAGCCCTCGTGTAGCTTTGAGCGAAATTCCAAAACAAACAAAAACAAAATACTTTTAAAAGGGGAGAGGGGGATTACTATCTGAATGTTTATCATTGTTATGCTTTCGTCTTCAATTTCTAGTTTAGAAAGAAATTTAGAAATAATATAATGAATGTTTTCGTCAACCTCTTTAAATTTTAAGACAATTCGAGCTTCGTCGAATCGTAATACGAGCATAAATCCAGAAACATTGTCTCAAAATAAATAATCATAAAAAAAGGTTGTTGTTTGTTTGTTAATCATGAAGCTGCACAATGTGCTATAGGTGTGCTGCTCATCACGGGTATTAAAACCCAGTTTT